AAGTTTCAAATATGCATTTCACAAATTTATTATTCACAATAATTTATTAAAATCTCTGTACTTTTTTTTGAATATTAACTGACTTTCTTTAAGTGAAATTTTTTAATATTAACAGACTTTCTTTAAGTGAAAGGTAAAATTACAATTTTGATCCCTTAATTTTAAGAGTATAAAATTTTGGTCCTATTATTAATTTAATATTTTTTAAATAATTAAGAAAAATTAATATCATACCTAATAAGTGTTAGTATTATGTTTTTTAAAATAGTTAAAAAGAGTTTGTATAAGGATAAAAATAAGAAAAAAAAATCTACGAAACTTAAAGAAATGTGAAGAATAATTTACTTTAGATAAAACTTAGAACTTTGACATATTTTACACGTTTACACTATACCAAGAAGGCTAAAAAACAAAAATGGAAGTAAAAAAATGATGGCATATATGGACGTGAAGGTCTGATAATGCTCTTCTGCACAAGAAACCAAATGAAATAATGCAAAGCTGGCGTGACGGAGGAGCTAGTAAAGATAAAGCAGTACAGTAACAGCAGTGAATGCTGAAAAAGGTAACCCTATTCTCACAAGTAATATCTCACGCTCATGTCATAAACCTTCTTATCATTACATCACCATAATAATTTCACCCCTCTTCTTTCTCACTTTCACAAACTACTAACACTCATATGCTACAGGAAACCATCAATGCCAGATTCGACTCATGCTGAAACTGATAATATCCACTTGCAGTTGCATGGCTAATCACTGAGGCCTGGGTAAATAGGCCACAAATAGAGAAAAGAGGATTAAAATACAATAATGAAAATAAGTTAAGATATTTAATTAATAATAAATAAATAAAGTAAGAAACTAAAAGGTGATGATGAGTCTCTTTTTTTTTCTTCCTTTTTTCTAAATAACTAAATTTTTCCATTATTTTTTCATGTATTTTTATTTATTTTTTTCTTATTTATTTATTTTTACTCTATTTCTCGTTTATTTCTTTTCTCTTTACCAAACACAAATTAAGCGAGAGAAAAAAAAGTGAGAAATAAAATGAAGAAAATAATAATAAATAAAATAGGTAAAAAAAATAAAGTAAAAGTTTAGTTGTATGATTGAAAAAAAAAAGTGAAAAATAGATGAAAAATAATATATATATATATAAATGAAAAGAGAAATAAATAAATTAGAAAATAGAACCCATTATCTTTTAATTTTTCACCCCCTTAATTTTCATAAACCAAATCACTCCACTTATTTCCACTTTTTCAGTTCTATTTCTTACCTATTTCACCCCAACCAAACAAGGTTAACTATATATGTGTAAGAGAAAAATTAGGTGAGAAATAAAAAATAAAAAATATGTGATTAAAAATAGGATAAAATTTTGATTGCTTGGTTGAAAAGAAATAAGATGAGTAATAATATTATATGTTTTTTTTTGTTCGTTCTTAGAGTATCTAGGAGCACTTTAAAGGGTGGGATAACTAGACCAAAGATTTAACGCAGCTGCATACACAAGGCAGGATTTGAACCCTGACCTTACTTAAGCGTAGATCAACCCTTATCGCTAAACCATACGCTTGAAGTTATTATATGTTTAGTAAGATAGAAAAAAGTAGGTAAAAAATAAAATACATAAAAAAAAAAGAAGAGAAAATAAATAAATAATAGAGTACAAAAATTTAAAAAATAAATTAAAAAATAATTTTTTATTAAATATTTTTATTTTAATCATTTAAATTTAATTTATATAACTAAATAAACAACTAATTAAAAGTAAGAAAACAATTTTAAAGTGATATTTTTAGATTAAAAATTAATTAAAATAATAAATTTAAATTAAGTAAATAAGATAAACATTTAATAAATAAATAAATAAAATTCCAAACATTCATTCAAATAAACACGATTCTAAGTTCACATTTTCCTAAAAAAAAAAGTATTTGAATAAAATTTTATTTATTTAAAATAAATAAAAAACTTGTTTGCGTAAATAACCATTTCAGTAATGTGTTATTCAAATGTAAGAATTGTTTTATTTAAATACGAATGGATTTTAAATATGAACTGTTTAATTTTGCAAAGAATAAAAAGATGTGTGTTCTAAGCCTTTTTATTTCTTCGGTGACAAATTTCTTCAATATCAAACAATTATGAATTTTTTTCATCTCTATGTCATATTTCTTCGCCGTTTCGCATGTACCGAATAAAGCATGACCTATTTTTTAACTGAACTAAAAGATTTTGTACAAATCTATTTTTTATTGAATAAAAAATAATAATTAAAAGGGTTAAACATTTTTTCATCTAAAAGTTCATTTTTAATTTTTAAAATATAAGCTTTTAGTTTTATTTTTTTAAAATGCGTCAAATTTTATTTCTTTTATTAACTTTATTAATCCAATATAATAGTGATGTTTAGTTAATATCACTATTTTTAAACCTTAAAATTAGTATATGGATACCATGTACATTGTGTCTAGTGATTGAAAATCACCATTAACTTGGACTAACAAAATTTATAACGAAAATAAAACATGCACACCAACAACCACTTATATAAAGATTATTTCAAGTTCATAAATGATAATAATAGCTTCATCATCCTAGCTAACAAAATTACCTTCACATACTTGTAGTCTATACAAAATAATAATAATTTAAAATCAAAAGAAAAACTTAACGATAAAATAAAATTTACTTAATCTTTAAACAAATTACTTAATTACCTTTTTTTAAAAATAACATATTATATAAGTTAAAGAAGTAAAAATGAAATTACTTTGTAGTTTTGACACAGCGATTCGAAATCATGTAAAAAGAAATTTGCTCTGAAAAAGGAAGTGGTGAATGGATATATTGATAATAACATTAAAATTGATTTGCGCAACTCCCGGCTTTCTCTGCCTCGTCATCAAATTGCCATTAACTACGATCCGTACAATTATTGTACAATACGGTCACACCACAACCAAACCATGCCTTACATATTATTTTTTTATTATCTTTTAATTATTTAAATAATCCTAGAGAAAAACTTGTACAACAAAATATGCCTTACCAAAGTTTTATATTATTATACTAATTAAATTCATAGTAAAAAAATTGTCAAACATTATTTTAAATTATATTTTTATTATTAATAATTAGTTAATTCGAGTGGTACTCAATTTTCTTAAATAAGATATAATAAGATTTATGTGTTGTGTACAATGTTTAGTCATCATCAAAATTGATAAGTAATATGTAGTAATAATATGTTATTGAAAAGAATTATATTTTGACATTTTTCGAGTCGAATATGGAATTCACGTGGTACCCTATCTGCCAATCAACGGCCATTGGAGGCATGGTTGAACACGAAAGGAAAAATATTAATGAAATTAAAATTTACAAAACGAAAATTGTGAACATCCATTATTTTATTTTATTTTTATAAGAGAGATAGCTATTTAAAACATGAATTTATGGAATTTATATTTTTTTAAAAAATTTATATACTCTTTATAGGATTGAGATAACTTAATTCTAATTCAACTATGTCAGAAATCAACTTAAGTTTCAGAATTTCTTATTTATGGAGTTTTAAAACTACAATATTAATAATACAACAATATTTAATCACATAGCTAAAATTAAAACAACTATTTGAAAATAATGAAGTATAAAAAGACAAAAGAATAAAAAATATTTGAATTTAAAATAAAAATTTAAACCTGTCGAAAAATTAGTTTTCTTTTCTTTTCTTTTGAATCGCATATATTTGTGAAGTTTAAAAACATTTTTGTTAAGTATTTTAAGAAACTAATTACTACCTATATGTCATCCTGGGAAGTATTAGAATAGAGTTTAATCAGAGCAAATAGACTCTACCTGCTTTACATCATTATCACGTGTTTAGAATTAGAATCTTCAGATGACACACATATCTCACATTCTAATTAACTCCAAGAATTGAGAGAGGGAATGAACTGTATCTCACCTCAGCCAATAAGAAGACTTATTTTATAAAATAAAAATAACAATTTATCTTTTTAAAACGATTTAATCCTCTTGCACGTGCAATTGGGAGAGGAATATTATCATGGTTATACGAGTTTATGACATTAGCATCATTTTAAACTATAAATCACACCTACGTATATAAATTAAAAATTAATAATTAATGGGTAGTGCGATCGTACAGTCCAGCTGGAAACGCCGTCAGTAATAGCAAAATCGAGACACAAACAAAAGCTGATCGTGAAAAGCACAACCGCTGCATGTAAATTTAAACCACTATGCTCTTATTCATATATTTTATTAGTATTAATAATAAGCAAAACTCTTTTATGCATTGTGAGAGAGAAATATACATTTTTTATTTTTAGAAATATTATTTATTTTTGTTTGAAGGAAAAATATGAAAATTAATATAATTCTAAGCGTGTGGTTCAGTGACAGGGTTGATCCACATTTAAGCAAGGTCAGGAATTCGAATCCTATTTTATATATGGAATCGCGTTAAATCTTGAAACCAATTATCGCACCTTTTGAATTATCTTCAACTTAATAAAGAGAATAGTCACTACTATCGACAATATACTCTATTAACGAATAAAAAATATGAAAGTTAATGGTGTGAGGCCTCCAAAAAAGTAGTAACATAAAGAAAATATGAAAAATATGTGGCATTGCGGTCCCTATAGTTCTGACACTGTAGTGGAGTGAACAGCTTCGGCCAGCTGTTAGCGGGCATAGTAACACACACTAACACCAACGGCAACATTTGCCACGCACCACATCCTCTTCTTGGTATTTGAAATCCACCCTGGCATCTGATGTGGCACACTCCTCCATCAATCTCATCTCATCTTCTCCCATAAGCCACTTCTCTTCTCTCTACACATTTTCACTATAAAACCTCTTCACTTCTCACTCACTTCTCCACTACACTCTATACTCTCTCCCCTTACCCTTCTCTTTCTCTTTCTCTTTCCCTGCACCAATGTCTGCTTCTTTGGCCTCTTCCTAGGGCTTGTCTTGCTGGTGGGGGTGGCTGTGTCTGCCCCTTCCAGCTTTGATCAACTCTTCCAACCAAGTTGGGCTTTTGACCACTTCATTCATGAAGGAGACCTCCTCAAACTCAAACTTGACAACTATTCTGGTATACCATCCTCCAACCTTTTACTTATTTTATAACATCCCACATCGTCTAACCATAAGGGATATCTTCATTTTATAAGCTGATTTTTTTAATACAACCCTTAACGACAAATTTAATAATGGCATCATGCTCTTAAATTTCTCGTTTGGTGGTGTTAACCGTTGTTGATATTCGGTGTGACATTTTCAGGAGCTGGTTTTGGATCCAAAAGCAAGTATATGTTTGGGAAAGTCACCATCCAGCTTAAGCTGGTGGAAGGTGACTCTGCTGGAACTGTTACTGCTTTCTATGTAAGTCAAGTCAACAAAATTATTCTTAAATCAACTAATTAATCTTCTTAGTTTTAATTATTGAATATGAGGAACATATCTAAAATGATGTAACAAAAATTAATTGATTAGTCATCTATGGAGATGCTCTACCTCCGGGACCCCATTCAATGCATACAATTTAGTAGTTCAATGTAAACAACATTGTGCAAAAAGATTTTGCTTTTTTTTGGGGGTATGTTATTGGAATAAAGACTAGTAACACGACTATTAGTGGCAACTACCTACTACTACTACCACCTTTTACCCTCGTGATTTACTTGGCATCCAATAAATATTTGCATTTATTACTTTTGTCCCAGTTTTTCCAATCTAAGAACCAATGCTGGGTTAAATCCTATTGGGGGAACTTTATCTTCACCATGATTATGATCAACCATGCTAATAGCCCTGTGTGATTCATATTATTCTGTGGTTGAATTGACTTTTCACTTTTTTTTTTTTTTCTGGATTCAATTATTGCGGAATCTAATCGAGTCTGACACGGTGATTAATTGATGTGACGTAGATGTCATCGGAGGGTCCAAACCACAACGAGTTCGATTTTGAGTTTCTAGGCAACACCACAGGGGAACCATATTCGGTCCAAACCAACGTGTATGTGAACGGAGTGGGCAACAGGGAGCAGAGGCTCAACCTTTGGTTCGACCCCACCAAGGATTTCCACGCATACTCTATCTTCTGGAACCAACGTCAAGTTGTGTAAGCACCCTTTCCCCTTCTTAATTAATTCACACACATTGCATTAAAGTTAAAGTCCATAGGAACATATGCAATGGGGGTTGCTTATAAGCAACTCCCATGTCAGCCCTGACTCATTTTATGGGTTGCTTAAATTTTAGCAGAAATAACTCTGTTAAAATTTAAGCAATCCATAAAATGAGTCAGGGCTGACATGGTACTGATGTGACATAGGGATGTGACATAGGGAATTTAAGCAACCCATAAAATGAGTCAGGGCTGACATGGTACTGATGTGACATAGGGATGTGACATAGGGAGTTGTTATAAGCAACCCATTACGGATGCTCTTAGGGTCATTTAAAAAAAATTGGAAATTGCCTCACAAATCACAATGGTTCTGAAAAAAGCTGTCTGCTTTTTACGGTGGTTGAGCTATCATAGACTTGTCTTCACTGTGTACCCATTGGGTATGACAAAATGGAATCTTGGACAATTCATGCCGATGGGGTTGTTTTTGGCATGTGGTACAAGGCTTTTCACTTAATGAAAATGCATGTTACTTAATTATACACAATGTAATCCTAATGTTGTGTTTTGAATTTTGATTGTATGATCAGGTTTTTGGTGGATGAGACGCCAATAAGGGTGCACACAAACATGGAACACAAAGGGATACCTTTTCCAAAAGACCAACCAATGGGTGTGTACAGTTCCATATGGAATGCTGATGATTGGGCTACGCAGGGTGGTCGTGTGAAAACGGATTGGAGCCACGCGCCATTTGTTGCGACCTACAAGGGGTTTGAGATCAATGCTTGCGAGTGCCCTGTGTCAGTGGCTGCAATGGATAATGCTAAGAGGTGTAGCAGCAGTGAGGGGAAGAAGTATTGGTGGGACGAGCCTAATTTGTCTGAACTCAACTTGCACCAGAGCCACCAGCTTGTGTGGGTTAAGGCAAGGCACATTTTCTATGACTATTGCTCTGACACTGCAAGGTTCCCAGTCACGCCTGCTGAGTGTGTCCATCACCGTCACAACTGAAACTGCTTCTAGCTAGTCCTACTCTTTTATTTGGTTATCATTAAAAAAAAAAAAACATGCATGGGGGTGAAATGCAAACTTGTGGAACATGTTCTTCATGTTTCTGAATTCTCATTGTAATATATTGCCACAGCATAATGTGAATTATTAGTTCTTCACCTTGTACAATCAATTTCATTTCAGTTTTCAAATTTGCTTTCATTAGTATTAGATTTCATCTTTCTAAACAAGATGTTGGTAAAATAAAAATATATAATTGAGAATAAATATTTCACTTCAAGTAATCGATCAGATTTTTTTCACAAAAGTTAGTCATCATTCATGTTAAAATAATTTATACAAATAAAACACATGGTTATGAGAAAAACCCATGTTGGTTCTGAGTGCTAATATGGTTGGATTGGTATAGTGTGGGCACTAATCTAATGGATAAATCTTTAGGGTAGTGACTAGAATAGGCACTAATCTACTGCATTAGATTTATTCGGGTGGGGAGTGGCTTGCTTACTTCAATGAATCCACATATGCAATGGGACCACAAGCTCACGGGTTGATTGCATTGGGGGGACCAAAAGAGTAAAAATAGGGTTTGATGGGAGGGGAAGTAGGGAATGGAGACAGGTAGAGGTAAAGATATAATTAGATAGATGAAGCCAAGTATTGTGTTGTGGGCCAAAAGTTTTTAAGGATTGAGGACTTTGCTTTGTGGGGTAAGGTGCAAGAGTAATGCCCGTATTTTGCAACCATTTTTCATAAACAAGAGAAGAGGTACTAAGAAACGAGTTTGTGAGTGTGTTTGTGTATGTGTTACTATAGTTAGGAGAAACTCCCAAATTGGTGGTTGTTTCGTTTCTATGGGTAGACAGTGCTAGAACGAATCAGATTCAATGATCAACAAAAGAAAGCCAAAATCAGATGCATAAACAAATCGAAAAGCAAGCGGACAGAATATTTAAACTGTGCAATTTGGAAAAGGGTTTTACGAATATGGTAATCATTTTCAACACCATCTTTTGTGAGGAATATGATAAGATATGATTGATTGTATCGATTTTGGAGAAAAAAAGAAACAATAATTATGTGCATGGCAATATCTTTTGTAGAACTTTATAAATTTTGCACAAAATGTGTTTTTTTTTATACTAAATGCAAGATTATAATTATGATGATCAGTCATTTCTTTTTATTGATAAAAATAGAACAAATACGAGTCTTTAGTTGGTAGGTGCCTTCAAAATGGCCTATATAGAGTAGGGCAACTTGACAACAAACATGTGAAACCTATGTTGCAATTAGGGTGGTTGACCCAATAATTATAACAATTAATTTGATTAACACCTTGTTAATAAGGTTGGGCCCTTTGCTTGCGTGGACAATTAAAGTTTGTCTTTAAGAGGATAGAGGCTCAAAGGTGATGATGGCTTCCTCCGTTTGAAAGGGATTCTTTTGGGCCATCTTCAATGAAGTGTGACAGAAAAGTTAATAGGTCATTTTTTTCAACTCAAATCATTCAATTGAGGGTCCTATTTGGTTAAACGATATGACATGTTTTGGTGTTAAAAATTCAAGTACCTATTGCATTCCCAGTCAATTGCTTTGCACAATGAACTCCGGAAAAAGGTAAATTTTTGGTTATGAACCAAGAGTATTCAAAGAGCACAATGAATTATCTTTTTTTTTTTTACTCTACTTTTTTATTTTCTTTTCTAAACACATTTATATCAGAGCCAAATTTTTGTCAGAGCAGTTATATTTCAGCTAAATAATATTTAATTGCACGGCGGAAACGTTTTAAATTGGGCTACTTAGTTTTAGTTTAAATGAATTTTGGTACATTTATTACTTTGGTACAAGTTACCGTTGAATTGTTTCATAATCAGGTAAGGTAAGGTTAATTTTAGTGGAGTAAATTTTGCGAAAATAAGTTTAAACTAAAGTATGTCACAATTCCCAGTTTCGCAGAATATGAGTTTACACTTGTAGTGATTTTTTTTTTCTTTTTAAGTTTATTGAAATGGTTTACTTAGTGTCCTGAAAATTAAAGATTAAATTACGCTTATGAGATGTATCTTTAGTTGATCAAATATTATCTTAACACAAATTTAAGTTAAATCTGATACTACTAACCATAGCAGAGTTTATAACTATTGGATTATTATATTTAGATATTTTATTTTTCACAAATATATTTAGTAGTGATTTAATTATTTTTAAAATAAAATACCTAGATTAAAGTGTGTTCTCTTAATTTGATAAAATAAATTAATTATAAATTATTTAAAGAGTGTGCACTCTAATAGGTTAGGAGACATATGAATACCAATAAGGAGAGAGAAATAATATAGGACATACACTTTAATTGATTAGAAGATATATGGGTATTAATTAGATAAATGAACTACTTTTTTTAATTTTGATGACTTAAATAATTGAGTCTTTTATATAAGGAAAAAGTAATATAATTCAGTTGTTTGCGATTAATATTCCGTATTAAATTTCTAAATAGATAAATAAATTTTTTTGTTCATAAACATGATTCATATAATATTTCAAAACTGACAATTAAAAACTAATTTGTGTTTACTGTGATAAATGAACTTTTAAAACCAACTTCAACATTTATTTTGATTGAAACTTAATTTTAAATCAAACATAATTGGGACAAGAAAGGACCAAGTATAACACACTCTATTATGTTAATCAATCTTTTTTTTAAAAAAACATAAAATTATGAGTAAAAATTATCAAATGAGTGAAAACTACGTAATTTTGTAATTTTTAAAAGAAGCCAATAATAATAAATATGTAAAAGAAATGTGTTACTTATATTTTTCCAAACAAATAATTAGTGTTCGTTGAGTGGGGAAAATTTAGGATAAACAAGCTAATATATAAACCAAATGTAACCTTAGAATGAGGTGTTGTATATAGGATAATAATTAGAATTGACACAAACGTTAAGTTTGTCAAACTTTTGTTTCAGGCCTCTAAAAAATTATTCGACATTAATATTTATACATTTTTTTTACTATTATTTATATGGATCATTTTTGTAATTATTTTTATTTTCATTTTTATATGGATCATTTTTGTAATATTGTGCAATTTTATTAATTTAAATATTATGACTAGTTGATTAGTTGTTGTGAAACTCTAAAGATTTAGGAATCTTAATGAGTTTTATCATTAAAGAGTTATTCTGAGTAGATGTCAAATTGACCTGTAAGGGAGAGAGTTTATAAGATATTTCTTAAGAAGTGGACATCATATGTTCATTTCTTTTAGTAAACCTAAAGAGAAATTAAAGAGAGGAACTCCAAAGTTAGAATTTCTTCTTTCTTCTTTAGAGTCTTCCCGAGAGTGTAGAAATCCTTCCCGAACAGAATGGTATAGTTGTAATTGAGATTCAAAGCTTTGAAAGCTAAAGATTAGAGAGTTGATGGATTTGTGTGGAGTTGGCTTGGAATGGTCTCATTCGTCATTCTTCCTATTTTCTTATCTATTTTCAGGTAAGGGAAGCTTTTGGAACTTTTGTAGTTGAATGAATTGTTGAATTATTACTTGAAGTATGCATTTTCATGGTTGTGTTGATTGAATTGGAGATTCAAATGTTTATGTTATGAGTTCTTCATCACCATTGAAGAAATTGAGAAAAACATAATGATTTGATATATTTATGAGTTGCTTTTTGGAGATTATGATGTATAAGCGTAGAGTATGGTGTCTTGTCTTGCGTTTTATTGTGTTGCATGTTGTTTTGGACTAGCAAGATTCCAGGTAAGGAAAATGTGATTATGCTAAATGTAGAATTCATCACATTGGGGGAATTGGTTGTTAAAAATTTCTTACTAAATTTCCTTGGTTTTCAAAAAATTTTCTAAAACTTTTCAAAGTATATTGATCTATAATTGTATATAAGATATCAAGTTGAGATTCTATGCAAATTCAAATTCACTCAGTTCTACCTACACTATTCATGTTTCATACCACATAACATCAAGCATAAAATCATAATTACAAGAATGTAAAGACAAGTGTAAGGATAGAGAAAAATACATAGCAATTTTATACTAGTTCAGCCACATCTGCTTGTAATCTATATTCCAGTTTCTAGTCAACTCGACTGAAATTTCTCACTAATCTCTAATATCAAAAGTTTTACAATCACAATACCACATGGAGTTCACTTCTACACTATTTAAAAAAAACCATTTTTTGCACCTTAAGAAGCATTTACTTATAGCACTCCACTACAAGATTTTGTTTTTTTAAGAAGTCTACTTAAGAAAACAAATCTTAAAAGTTAAGAAACGAATTCACTTAATGTACAGAACAAATCAGATTAGATAAATCAACAAAAGTAACTTATCCTATTACTCCATGAAGATAATGATCAATTCAGTTCTTGAAGTCTTTCTTGAGGTTACCACAAAGGTTACTAAACCTCTACTTACAAAGAAAAATGTTTTCCATGGAGTGTTTTTGAAAAAGATATCACAAAAATTCAAGTCTCTTTGTTCTAAGTGTGAATATATATATATA